TTWTATAGAGCTGGTGCAACGACCGCGCCCCATCAATAATTCATGAGTTTACTGAAAGGCGCGGTAGCTGGAAGATTCTGAGGCTGGTCATATTGTTTGCTGAACAWGTGACGAGCTTGGCTTCATAGAAAACAAAGACCAAGACTCTCTTTTGGAGTTACAAAATCGTAAAGAAACTACTGCGTAGTCGGGCGTTCCTAGTAAACTTCCCTGGAACCAAAATAATCCAGAATAATCCAGAATTTATTCCTAAGGGACTTCTCCCGGAATTGCCTCCTTCTAAGCACTATAACTTTCTTTCATTTCTATATCGTTATAATCCAGAATAGTCTCCTGCGCGGTTCCCTACGCTAACCTGAAAGATATAGCCGTGCCTTTACATCGAAGCGAGAGAGCGTGCTATGTCAGATACCTGTGGATAATTGCCTGTAGGTGTGAAAGAAGGTTTCTATCATTACACGCTATACGGTYGTCTCGCTTCGATGAAAGGCACGGCTACCTTTCAAGATGGCGCAGGGAACCGTGAAGCAGACCATAGTCCATATCGAAACCCGCGGAAGGCCTTGTGACGCAGTGCATTTTGGGATTGATAAATGAGTAAACAAGTGAACAACGATGTCAGTGCTCCAGTTGTCTGACGTAGACTCAGTTTTCGAAAAACATTKKGAAACATTGATATTGTAGTTAATCTCAAAAGCGAAAAAACAAACAAATATCAACATGCAAGGAAATACAGCAAGAAAAACCTCCAAAAAATGTACAGTTAACCAAGAATGTCCATTTACTAGGCAAATCAGGCAAAAATGAAAAGAAACATATTTTGTCTGTGCAAATATCGAAACTAATTAGTGTTTTTACGATTTTAGCGATTTTTTTTATGAAGAAAGGCAGATATATATCCCATGATACATTGCAAAACCATTCAAAATGGCGGCGGGCTTGTGATATGTACTATTACACGCTATACGGTCGTCTCGCTTCGATGAAAGGCACGGCTACCATTCAAGATGGCGCAGGGAACCGTGAGGCAGAYCATTGATCCTATCGTATGTCAAATCTGTTTGTTTAACGTGTGGCAAAAGTCATTGCTACGGAGCTCATTTACATCAGGAGAACTTCTTCGGCACTAAATAACTGCACTAAATAATTTTAACACTCATAGTGTTGACACTGTTSAAAAACGCACTGCGCATGCCCACAGCTTTCCCGCCAGTGGKCGCTCGCGTCTTGAAATCTGTAAAAAGAGCGCCTGGCGATTTACAGCGACAACACAGAAAACACTACGAAAAACCTCATTTTCTCAAAATAGAAATTACAAGATAAAAATAGAAACTACATACTAAACGGACCTATCATGAACTATGATTGATGGAAATATGAATCTTATATATATCGGTGAACAAGCTTATAAATTGTAAAAAACTTCCACAAAAATTACAAAGGAAATTAGGGAGATTTCTGAGGGAAACCTGTGGACATGCGCAGTGCGTTTTTCACTAGTCTCCATAGTGTTTACTTTGAACTACCATTACCATTTGGCATTTTTAAATTACAAGGTTCGTACGGKTTCTGCAGGAAAACCTGGAAAGTCGCGGAATTTGGTATTTTAGTTTTCTGACAGGCCTAGAAAGTCATAGAATATTGTCCAGGTCGTGGAAAGCCATTGAAAATATTCTTTTTTGTTATTTATTATACTGCTTCATCAAATACGCGTTATCATTATTATGGTGCGTTTATTCTACTTTTCCATTAAAAAAATCATTGAGTATTTTCATATTTTACATTAGGTTTATTCAATGCTTATATACAACTAAATGGAATTAACTAATGACATACGAATCAAATCTTTCCTGACTCGGTTAATACCTCACACTTTGCCTTCTAAATWACTCTTTTCACTCCCAATATTTGCAGTGCGAYGATCGAGCAATCGTCGTTTTWAGTCGAGTACTTCAAATCGCTTTCGATAAGGATTATTTCAGCGCGATTGCTACAGGTAGAAACGACATTACTACGACATTAGCAGAAGCAGAAAAAAACAAAAGAATCCCCAAAGAAAATGGAGTGCATCGACATAAGCATAGCAACAAACATAAGCCCAATCATAAGGTTGCTTCATTCGTTTAAACCACGAATCTATTGTTTTTTTGTGAGCTTATCCTAATGTCGTATTGTAAACTGGCTCTTTGTTGTCAGAACAACCGCACTGCTAGCAAATTTCTTCATTGTATGGTTGGTTAGATTGTGGGTCGTTTATAGTTTCGACATACATTAACCTCTTTAAACCTAAAACCGCAGCCATATTGTTTCACTACAACCAGCGTCGAAAATACAAACATACGTTTGAATTTTAGGTTCGAACAGGGGACTGGGCACTGAAAATCTACACTACCAATTATTACACCAGGCCACGTGATCAAGTCACGTGACCRGTTTGTGCGAAAGTCCATCCCATGATTTTTAGTAGCAGACTTGTTACCAACACTATTTAATGCATTAGGAAAGYAAATTCAATRGTCTGGTTGAATCCAGTTCACTTCGACCACTCACTTTCCAATGAATCAATTTCGCGTGGTCCACATTACGTCACATCCGCCATGCACATTACGTCACAACTTTCTAAACTATAGCAAAATAAATTCTCCTAAAAGGCCTTATTTAACACACGCCATTTTTCAACTGATAGAATCAACTACTTGAAAATTTATCTAAGCAGTAGCCTGTGTAGCCAAGCGTTMTCAAATTCTCTCGGAGCGGCTAGGAACGCCTGGCTACATCGGCAATGGAGATTCCGTCATGTTTTGTTTTAGAAAATGGCGCCGATTTATATTTCACTACATAAATTCACTACCAAACTTAGATTATTGACTCTTGAAACAACCCCGAAAACGTGCAAAATAATGTGTGGTACACTAAAGTGAATCTTATGGGTTTATGAAAACTACTCTAGGCTTGGACCAAACGTCGTACTTACATAAGCCGTATTCTACTCTTTAGAATTCRTGTAAAAATACGACGTTTGACCCAATAACTTCGTCTGTTTAAACAAGGCCCTTAACGGTTAGTACAGCTTTGAGAGGCGTGTACTTATCATATTTTAGTAATAAAAGATTGACATACTAAAATATTGACTTCGTTAMGCGTACCACATATCAWATTAGCAAATTGAGTTTTCCGTTGACGGATCTAACATGAGATTTGACATGGCCTGCAGAACTAAATCATTGGGTCGATCAAAATTTTACTTGTACGACTTTAGGTCGACCGTGTTTACATCCGTTACCATCCCTCTCGTATGGAGGGAAGGGTGGGAACGATTCTGTACACAAGCTAGCCAGTTGGACGTTTAACYCAAGCCTTACTTTTTAATTTCAATCTCGTAGCCCGAGCCCCTTTCAGGGCAGTGCCGTCTRCATACATTCTCAGCGCTCGCCAAGAATAAGGAAGGTTAGGGATACGAGATTGGTTTAATTTAGACTCATGAATTTAATTAACGGAGTGCTAAATATGGATAATTAATTACCATTACCAATCAGGTGACTATAGACCTCTGAAGCTTTTACGTCGTATGCCATTGCCATGCATGTGGGATATGTCTCTCTGAAAATGGCGGATTTCTATTGTTTTCTCACGAAAATGATCCCAAAATGCATTGCAAACCACGTTGGTGACATAAAGGCTTCAGCAGTCTACTATTAGCTCTAGGATTCCGTTATTTAACTTTTTTTGAATGTGACGAAACTATAGGTTCTTATACCACAAGAAGCCCAAACATGGTAGCAGAGGATTTCTTTCTGCCTCCTCGGGAGGATATGACTGGGACGAACGAACCCTTTGCTCACCCGACAATGTGGCGGCCTTTCAACTCTCGGAAGATATAATCCAATAGGCTTGTTCGAAACACAATAAGTGCCATTGTTCTTTGAAAGGCCCAGTTTGCACCATTATACTTTGCGAGCCTCTGTTATTGTTATGATTTACACCATAATACTTCTAGTATCCAAATATATCCATAAAACTAAGTAAGTTTGTTTTGTAAGATCGTTTCACGTGCTTAGAAAAGTGAGAAGATCAAAGATTCGAAACGCACAGTACAATTTATAGACTACATTCGGTAAACTAAAAATGGCCGCTCGAGGGCCCCAAAGCATAATGGTGCACACTGGGCCTTTGAGAACGACCCAACCAGAGAATGCGCTCCGAGCAATTTTAAACCTACCCGGTGGGGACAATATTTGGGTTTCCTGTGTACCTAAATCTACAGAGAATGCTTTCAACTCTGTAATAAAAGGTTTGCACACAGATTGTCAACTTAAGGTGTTTGACAGTGCCGCTCCCCATTCCATCCGTCCATCCTCGCCGAGGAGGTAAGAGCCTGGGAACAACATTTCCCACAATTCTCTATCAACAAGTTGCTAAGCTATGATATCACGATAATGGATTATAAAAGAGCATACATACACCGCGTAAGATAACATTAACTGACTTGACAACAGCTCATGGGATCGCTGTTGTGTGGATGGGATGCCTGTGGCTGATATTTCTACAGGGGAGTCTGGACACTAGAAGGAAGTTCGTTGTAATAGTACTGGGAATGATCTTTCATCTTTACACCACTTAATCGCCATTGTCAACCAGCATCCATTTTGAGCTTTTGATTATGTTTCAAAATAAAACACATCGTAATATAAGCAAAAACGTACTCTTTATTATCCCTTTATACTCTATGAATGGAAATATTGTAAAATTGCGACCTTAAAACTGACTGATGGAAACGGATTGCGAATGAATACTAGATGTCACCTCATTTTACATATATGGAAAATCTAAAACAGGACCGCATTGAATGCTGGTTGACGACGGTCCTTTWAMGTGAAACATAATTTTGTTTTTTGYTTTTARCTATAGATGAAACAAATAATATCGATGCAGCAATAACGATAGCAATATCACACAAAAATAAAACCGTCAGTTCTCAAACTATTATAGTCTTGTGACGTTCCACATAAATCCTACAAATATACACTCTCATTCTTACCATACTTGTCAAACAAGCAACTATAATTGTCTATTGTTATTGCTGGACCAATGTTATAATTGGYATTAAGCTTGTAAAGGATTGTGGGATATCAACACTGGTTCTGAAGTCAGTAGGGGTGGTATGTAATACTTCTGCATTATTCATTAATATTTTTCACCCTCCCCCTCTTATATTATTATCATGCACTCACTGCTGTACAGTACTGCAGAACGTCATAGGATTGATTTAAAATCTCGCCTGAAAAGTAGAAAAAGCAGTGTTTTAAATACAATGGTAAACYTAAACGTAATAATACAGTCAACTCTCGCCTTACGGACAACCCGCTATAACGGACAGCTCGATATTACGGACACAAATAACTGAATCCCCGTAGAAAAATACGAAGACATGACTGAAAATAACTCCCCGTTATTACAGACTCTCGGACACTAAATTACGGTCCCGAGGGTCAAATGTTCTTTTCCGAAGGTGGCCGCTTAATAGAAGTTCGAGTGTTTTTCTGTACAAATTGAAACGATGGAAGACAATTCGCGCTACTAAAATGGCGCTTTGGCTTGTAAGGTACAGCGGTTGATTGTGATTCTTTAACTTTTCACTAACCTGTGATCCTGGAATTGGTCCAAAGGGATCTGCAGGTTGTTGTTGAGGCTGACCAGCAGCAAAACCTCCAGGAAACATTGGTGGTTGACCCTTGAGATCAATAACAATATTATACATGTAAGGTAATTTGTTCTAATAATACGTTGTAATACGTGCTTATGTGGGAGCTGTACCCTGTCAATATAAGACAAGTGAGACTGACAGTTGTTAGTATTACAACACAAGTGGGACACTGGTGAAAAACGCACTGCGCATGCCCACAGCTTTCCCGCCAGTGAGCGCTTGAGTCCTGAAATCTGTAAACAGAGCGCCTGGCGATTTACAGCGACAACACAGAAAACACTACGAAAAACCTCATTTTCTCAAAATAGAAATGACAAGATAAAAATAGAAACTACATACTAAAAGAACATATCATGAACTATGATTGATGGAAATATGAATCCTGCGCAGTGCGTTTTTCACAAGTGTCCACAAGTGGACTATTGCAAATCCTTCGTTCTGATTGGCTACACTACTCGGGGTCTATTTTCAATAGTCCTCGGCTAGCGAAAAGCGACAACTTTTAGCGTATTTTTAGCAATAAAAACATATTTCTTTCATTTCTTTGTCCAACTAGTATGGTAATACTAAAACAATTAGATCTCTTGCCCTCGTGGACTACCAGCTGATTCATGGGCTATCAGCTCGAAGTCCACTCGCCCTCGAGATCTAATTGTTAAATATCACACTCTGAATCTATCATTTTCTTCTTTTTACCAACAAATCCTAACTTTTTAGCCATTTTACAGTGATTGCATGAACATCCTTGGAAAAAATCGCGCGCTTTCAAGNACAATATAGAACTTTAAAGCCTTTGATACAACCTTTACTGAAACATTATACATTATTACTCTTATATTAACATGCCAAATAAAGCGTTCTGTATGTTCTGTCAATACAATAATGCTTTTTCTTTGGAATAAAACTATAGAAAGTCAAGTGTAAATGTCAAAACAAGAATACAGTATATGACGATTAAGTTTACCAAGCTTTTTATAACTATTATTATTAATTTTTGTTATTAAGTATCTTTTTCTTTGTTCTCTTTTAGGATTACTTGTTTAATATCTTGTTTCAATTCCCCTTTTGTTTGTCTTCCTTTTATCACTTAAAATTAATTACTTTCGTTTTGCATATATTTGTTATAATTTCTATCACAAAGACATTAACCTTAAAGCAAAAGTGAAAAATAACAGAATTCTTCTTTGACTATAGTTGTTGAATATTGTACATTTTAAGTTACTAAAATGTATTTTGTTGTCGAATTAACATAAGCTTAAACGCAACAGAAAGCTTATAGGTTGTCGCTAATTAAGAAAAAGCAATTCATTGCAAAACAGCTGATAATAAGTTTGAAATATTACATGGAAAAATATAAAAGTCATCGTTATAATATAAAATACAAATTTTTGTTGTCAAATGGTGCTCTTTAATTGTATAAGCTTGATGGAGCAAAGAAAAATATTTGTATTCGCCTTAAATGAACTTCTTTGCTACTAGATGTATTAAACAAAAATCGTCAAAAGGCTTTGTAACGAGGCGAATAATATTCCCCGAAACAGTTTATACATAGCACAACTATAGTTGTCATCAAGTTTCATAAGAGAAATCGGAACCTATTCTATGTGTTTATTTTCGTACCACACAATACCAGTCACAATCATATCAAATTTATCATGCCCACCCAAATTAAAGTTCTTACAAATCGCTAGAATTAGTAACGCAACCGCTATATAAAAACCTTGTATGGCTTAATTATAACGTATTGCATATCGTTGATCGCAAATAATGTGAAATTTGCTAATTGCTTGTGTTAATTATCGTAAATTACTCACCCCATTGCCGTAGCTCATGAGATTGTGGAATGTGCAAAGTGCTTTGAAGACGACAACCCAGCTCGAGTTTGTGCACCTCTCGAATAGTATATCCGCCAAATTCGGTATAGAGACATTATCAGTGTTGGTACATTGTATAAGGTCTGGAATAGAAAGGGAAATCATCGATAAAATCTTTGAGTAAACGAAATCACAACCTGACATGAAAGCAAGAACTCACAATCGACGTGCTTTCTCTTCGGCCCCATCACTTCTCGGCTTGTTGCTTTGCAAGCAATTTTAGCCAAATTGGACCCGGTGATGGAGTGCCTGGCTGCATCTAGTTTGTCAACTACGGACATTTTTTAAGGAAATTTTATTGCCGGCGCCGAAAAAATTGATATCCAAAAGTTAGTCAAAATTTGCAAGTCTCTATCCTGTCCAAAATGGCGTACCTTCTTACAAACCACGTGACTAAGTGTCACGTGACGTCTACTCTGTATGGAATCGTCGGGAGGTCGTCACGCAATTTTATATTAAGTTTCTTTTTTCTTTTCGTTAATATTTGATTCTTTCATATCCGCGTAGATATTTATTCATGTAAGCTAAGCTTTCTCAAATTTCAGATACACTTCCATTAGTGCTTTTTCTTCAACTTGTATTGTATATTTCTCATATTTCTTTGCAATTAGAACCGGTATTTCGAGTTTTCAATTCAAAAATCTGAAGGCTTTTGCTACTGACGGATTATTTGTTTTCAATTCTATTTTCAATGTGTCAAAGCTTCTCTCATGACTACACTATATTGTTGCTGCATTTTTTAAGATTGAGACAATTTACTAAAAATAATAAACAAGCTTTATATTTAGAACAAGCTTGTCTCACTGAGAAACCGAAAACTAGATCAAAAGGAATCAAAATAGATACAATGTTTACATGTGTTTTGAAGAGGTAGACATGCGGTTTTTGAAGGTCAGTAAATGGGATACCTGTGTTATAATTAACTTGAGCCCACAGTCAAACCGCATTTCACAAGTGTAATCACCATGTTGTCCAATAAATCTYTTTTTCGCATCTTWGGATCCCAGAATTTGGCTTTAAGAGGTTTGTATACAATGGAGAATATGTGTRATTTGATAATTATGCATGCTTTGCTATTACATTGTATTGCACAGATAAATAATTACAAATCAAGCTATCAACATTCCCTTTTCCACTTTTGAGCATCGTGTAGTTGAATCTTTATCAGCAACTACGCTTAAATAAGTTTAATATATTAACGTATTTAATAGGCGACTGGCCCATGGTGTACCATGTTCTCAGATGGATTGCTTCACCAACTAAATCGCTATCAACACTTCAAGGTTAGGCAATGCCTCTATGTTACAATGATCATGTACACATTTACAAACACCTTAATTAATACCTTTCACCCTTTTCCACCTTACGTCTTCCAACTCCCTGATGTTGGCAGCAGTGTGCTAGATTTTCATTGAACAGGAATAATAATCTAATAGGTTGGCTAACATAATATTAAATTGTTGTGCGACACTTCAGTTACATCTGTAATAAAATCAGTAAGTCTCGACATTCATTGACTGCAAGTTTATTGAGCTTTGTGCAACTGCTGTGATCAAGAACATTTTACAAGGCACAAAATTTAAATATGCACACATGAGGAGGCAATTACATTTTTTTTCATCTAATTTTGTCTTTTGGTTTTCTATAGGACAATCACAGAATAGATTTATAAGTGGTTATGAAGATATTGAGGAATTACAGAAGTATGTCATTACTTTATAAGAAAGGGAAAAATAGGCTCCTTCTTTCAAGGGTTTTTTCATAAACCAAAAAAAAATGTGTTAACCTTTACGTGTAAATAAAGATCCCATTTATAATCAGTCCCTCACAGACCCATTTGCACAGAGAAAGTTAAGTTATCCCCCACCCTCCCCCAATGAGTTACAATACAAGTCCATTTAGCATTTTGTCACTATGTCACCTTGTTTACTACAGTAATTCCTCTTTTTCTCCTATTTCTAATTTTATTTATTTCAAAAGTGCACCAGAGAGCGTAAAAAGGATTTTCAGTTTGGATAATGCAAATCAGGTGTGTTTAAACAAAGATTGATCTCAATGAAAATGCTGCTTATTTCAAATAAATATTTACCATTCTGTNTGAAAATAACTCCCCGTTATTACGGACTCTCGGACACTAAATTACGGTCCCGAGGGTCAAATGTTCTTTTCCGAAGGTGGCCGCTTAATAGAAGTTCGAGTGTTTTTCTGTACAAATTGAAACGATGGAAGACAATTCGCGCTACTAAAATGGCGCTTTGGCTTGTAAGGTACAGCGGTTGATTGTGATTCTTGAACTTTTCACTAACCTGTGATCCTGGAATTGGTCCAAAGGGATCTGCAGGTTGTTGTTGAGGCTGACCAGCAGCAAAACCTCCAGGAAACATTGGTGGTTGACCCTTGAGATCAATAACAATATTATACATGTAAGGTAATTTGTAGTACTAGTTATACGTAGTATTGTGTCTAATAGAGCGGATTTCGTATGAGTGGGACACCGTTACCGCACGGTTACCACACAGTTACCGCACCTGGCCTGCAGAATTTTGGTGAAACAATGGAGCAACAGTACGATTACGGACACAGTACAGTACCGTCCGTTTCCCACTCATACGAAATCCGCTCTAATACGTAGTAATACGTGCTTATGTGGGAGCTGTACCCTGTCAATATAAGATAAGTGAGACTGACAGTTGTTAGTATTACAACACAAGTGGGACACTGGTGAAAAACGCACTGCGCATGCCCACAGCTTTCCCGCCAGTGAGAGCTCGAGTCCTGAAATCTGTAAACAGAGCGCCTGGCGATTTACAGCGACAACACAGAAAACACTACGAAAAACCTCATTTTCTCAATTTTGAAAATAGAAATGACAAGATGAAAATAGAAACTGCATACTAAAAGGACCTATCATGAACTATGATTGATGGAAATATGAATCCTGCGCAGTGCGTTTTTCACAAGTGTCCACAAGTGGACTATTGCAAACTACTCGGGGTCTATTTTCAATAGTCCTCGGCTAGCGAAAAGCGACAACTTTTTGCATATTTTTAGCAATAAAAACATATTTCTTTCATTTTTTTGTCCAACTAGTATGGTAATACTAAAACAATTAGATCTCTTGCCCTCGTGGACTACSAGCTGATTCATGGGCTATCAGCTCGAAGTCCACTCGCCCTCGAGATCTAATTGTTAAATATCACACTCTGAATCTATCATTTTCTTCTTTTTACCAACAAATCCTAACTTTTTAGCCATTTTACAGTGATTGCATGAACATGCACTGGAAAAAATCGCGCGCTTTCAAGGTTGTAAATTTGATGTAAATACGATGTAAGTGTCCAAAATTCTGTAAATTTAATGGAAATTATTTACATCAAATTTACAGAATTGTGGACGCTTACATCATATTTACATCAAATTTACAACCTTTAAAGCGCGCGATTTTTTTTCCAGTGATGGTCAAATGAAAATCACCCTCTCTCTGTTCTACATACCCCCATCGGCTGTCCTGCTGGAGGCTGGCCAACAGGCTGACCAAATGGAGGTCGATACATCCCTGGTTGCTGCGGTGAAATGGATCCACTTCCCCATCCCATCTGTGCCGAGGGGACGGTAGACCGAGCAGGGAGGTTCTGTTTTTGCCAGTTTGGTCCCCCTGTCTTGACYTGTGGCTGTGCTGGAGTCCACTGGTGCTGGGATTTAGTTGTCTTTGTGGTTGTWCCACCATTGTGAAGTGAGAGATTGTCTGTAAGTAAAATAAGCTTGATTTATTAGGCTTAGAATAGGGAGAGAGTGCTTTCGACGGCTTCAAAAACTCCAACACT